GTATTTGTCTTTTAACATTTATATTTTACCCATATTTCCATACTTCAAGTTTATGATGCATAGGAGTTTCAAAATTTGTAGTTGTCTCGCACAAGGTGGGATCAGTCGGTTAGGTATGTGTCAGATATTTTAACTTATTTTGATCCGAAAGGAACAAATGATTAGAGATAAGTAAGAGATTATGGGTTATTAGTTTGAATATCTGTTTTGAAAATCGGATCGGATCAGTCGGTTCAATCGGTTTAATCGGGAATCGTTGTTTAGTCCGGTTCAATCTAAACCGGTTGAACCGTTATTAGTGAACCGGCCAGAACCGCTGAATCGTTCGAACCGGACCGGCTGAAAACAAAAAAAAACCGGGATTTTTTTTTTAAAAAAATTAAACCAAACAACGTCATTTGTTAAACGAGCCAAGTCGAACTCGAGTATTGCTGAGCTCGACTTGAACTTAAAAACTTTAAAAGTAAGCTCAATTCAACTCAAGCTCACAAGCTAAAAATTATCAAGTTAAACTCAAACTCGAAATATAATATTGAAATTTGAACTAAAAAAATATTTGAACTAAACAAAAATTAGAAGCTCGATTGAAGCCTAAAATTCGAGCTTGATTGAAGTGAAAGAATAGTTATATAATTATAGTTATATAATTTTGTTATGATTTTTTAACCCCAAATTTATTTTTTAATTATAGTTATATAATTATATTTATTATTTAATATGTTTTACCTTAAATATTATGTTGTAGTTAATTTGAATCATTTTGTTTCACTTGATTTTATGGTTTTTAACTTATATATGTTATGACTTGCTTTGAATATGACTTGTGATATAAAAAATTATTTTTTATTAAATATTTTTAGTATTTTTATTTAATTTTTTAAATAATTATGACGTTGTCTGGTTCTTCCGACCGATCGGACCGATTCGACCGGTTGAACTAGTGAACCGGTAGCATGACCGGTTCGCTAACCGGTCTGATTCTGAAAACCATGGTTTGATTGTAGTTTTTCTCTGAGACGAGGTTTTAGATAATAGATTTTAAATTTAAGTTACTTTAATTCAATTTATTCAAATAAATAAATAAATAAAAATAATATATATATATATATATATATATATATATTTATGGATTAAATTTAGTTTAATCGGTGTTGATATAGTGTATAAAAAGATATGAGATTTTTTTTTGTTGTTTTCTCGATACTCAAGATTTCAGTCTACTTAATCTAAATCGATTTGGGTTTTACAGTTAATTTTAGTGGGCGAGTCTCCCAGCAATAATTTTTAACATACTCAATGACTCAAATTTATGATTTACTTAAGCGATATCAAAATGATTATCACTTGAATCAACTAGCGTTGGTATAAAAAAACATGAGATTAAATATATTTAAATGTTTAATATCTTTTAATTTATAGATGAGGAAAGATCAAAATAACTTTAATATTATATCAATTGTTAAAAAAATAAAAATAAATGTTTTATTTAATTATGATAATATATAATTATTAATATCAATTTTTAATAGTTTATTATTATTAAGCATTAAAGTAAATCACAATGGGTCAAGCTTAGTTGAAGCTTAGACTTAAAACTGCACAAGTTTATTAGATGGTGTATTATAATTTTCAGAAACATCAATTCATTTGTTATTAGGATAATTAGTTAGAGTTATATCATTATTAATAAAGGAACTCAAATAAATAAACAGTATCAATTCATCTTGTTAAAACGATATAAAGAGTTGTTGAGTAAAATGATTATTTTAAATTAGATTTTTATAATTTTAATTTATCTTTTCGAGATGTCATATGGTAAATAAAAATTAGTTAACCAGGATTAAGTGGAATGATAAGACTTGACAAATGTATTCAAATCTCATCATAATATAAAGTTGTATTTAAATAATTACGTATGTAAGATATGTATCTCATTAATAATTGATTTTTTTAAAATATATACGACCTTATAATAATTCAGTACTACTAAAAAATGTGAAAGTTTTTATCTCAATAAATGATGGCAATCATCTAAAATATGAGAATGTATGTAAAAGAAGTCTGATCCAATTATTTAAGATGATGACTACAATAAAAAAATATAAGTCTTAAGGATTAAAAATATTAATATATTATATTATTATTATCATTTAATTTTTTAATGAATGGTGTTTAAATTAGAATTAAAATATAATATTAATGACATTTTACTAAAAATAATTAAATAATTGATATACAAAATAAAATATTAAATAAAAAATTTACTTTAATTTATTAAAAACTAATGAGGAAATATATTGGAAAAATGACGTGTTCAAAAGCTGTGTTCATGAAATGGCAGCGGGCTTTGATTGGTGGGGGAGAGAAAGAGATCAACGGTGGAGATGTGAAGCGAGAAATGCGGTGAGAGGGAGAAGGGTACGATGGAGGAATCTGATGCTTCCGAAATCAGAGGGGAGAGTCAATAATTACAGCCCACGCTGCCCGACGCCCATTATTCTGTTTTTCTGTCCACCCCTCTTTCTTTCACGCCATACCTCCTATCACTTCACTCTTTTTTTTAATTTTTTTAATATATCAAAATTCATTTTAAAATAAATAGAATAATAGACCGAACGTTCAACGATTTATTTGTAAATTATTCTATGATTTTTTTTTCGTTTATTTATTAAATAGATAAATATGAATATATTTTTTTCGTTTAGTTAAATGAATAAACATGAATAAATAATTCATTCATTCATTTACGTTCATAAATGTTTGCTAATATATTCGTTTATGCTCATTCGTTTATGTTCGTTAATCTGTTTCTTTTTGTTTTGTTTGTTTGTTTAATTAATTTTATATTTATATTCGTTCATTTATATATTTTAATATTTTTTGCTTTATTTGAAAGAAATTTATATTTTATGTTCGCTCGTTTATGTTAGTTGTATTCGTTTATCATTTTAACGAAATAAAACGAACAAGCTACATTCCTTAACGAAATAAAATGAACAATTTTTTTTATTCATTAATTATTCATTTGTTTGGGTTGAAGCTAAACGAACCAATGTGAACATACTCTCTTGTTTATATTGGCTTGATTCATTTATATGTCTAAAAAAATATAGGGTTCACATTTTGTTTTTGTGCTTTTCCTAATTGGGGCTTAGATCCTCTTTTGTAGAGGTGTAAATGAATCTAATTTAAATAAACAAAATTGTATATAAATATTTTTAAAATTAAATAAATAGATATAATTATAATATTAAAATGTTAAATGACATGATTCAGAAGAAATATTTTTTTTTTAAATGAATAAACATATTTCAAATACTTTTTGATTAGTCCTCAAGCTTCTAATGATGTATAATTTAAGGCTTCGGCCTCTATTTTTATTACTATTATTTTAATTAAAAGGTGACTTTAGGCATTGATTTATAGAATCTAGAGATCATACTTTGTCGTTTAGTGTGTTTGCTTGTCGTTTTCTTCGTTTTGTTGCTCTCTGTTTATTCATAACTTATTGTTTTGTTAATTTTCTGCTTGTATTAGTGGGATTCTATGATCACTTATTGTACCCAAATATTATTTTCAGCAAAACCAGTGCCTTTTACTTATTTATTTATTAAATTTGGTATTATTTTTGAAAAATGATGTAATTTTTTTAAATGTTTTTAAAAATTGAAAATTAATTATTTGAGATTATTGTTAAAAAATAATTTTGAAAAAAATAAAATATCCATTTTAAATATTGTATTTTAAATTAAAAATATAGTATTTGAATTATATTTACACTTACTCATAATAAATTTGAAATAAATTTAAAATAAAATAATTGTATAATCGAAGTAAATATTATAAAAAATATATTATTTTTTATTCAACGAAAATATTTAAAATTAAATAATTTAAGCATTAATAAAAAGAAGTAATAAATAATTACACATGTATGTGTATTATTTTTAAAACTAACTAAAATAAAATAATTCAGGATAAAAATATATTTTTACCCCAAAATTGAATTTTCACAGCAAAAACTATAAAATTTAACTTTTGAGGTTTGGCTCAAAAACACTTCTTCAACCATAATTTTAAATTATTTTTTAGATGTTTAACATTGTTTTTGGGTGAAAAATCACTTTTATCTGGCTAAAAGTATTCCCAAACTGGTCCCATAATTGTACTATTAAATTTTAAAAAATACAAATAAAGTTTTTAATTTATTTCACATCCTTATTAAAATTAGGGGTTTTTTTTCCTAATTTTGTTTATAACTTCTTATTTTTTTATGATCATTCTAAACATTAATTAACTCATCTTGTTTGTAGTCTTAAGTTCAGGTATTTATTTAAAAATTGGAGGAATAAAAGCATAATCTCGAGAAAAAAGTTTTTACCCAAAGCAAATTTGGAAATGGATATACGATAGGTATGACTCATAAATATACCAGTAAAGAGGTCAGAGGATGTAATTATGTACCAAATTTTTTATTATAAATAGAGATGTAACATAAACCTATGAGACATTGAATAAAACTTCTAACACCGCCTAGACACCACGGACGTAAACACATTACCGAATATCGTTTTCTTTTTAGATTCTTCAAGAATATACATTCGCAGTTGAGAAGAAATACATGATTGAATATTGATCTAGTTGTGAGGAGTAGTTTTCATCTCTGCTGGAATGTCCCCTCAAACCCCTATTTTTTTCTACCATTGGGGAGAAAATGTTGTCGTCGCCTCAAATTACAGTCCTATCCATCTCATGCTTTCACACATACAATTCAAATAATACATCCATAAATCAAATTAATTTTTAAATACACTATCATTAATGTATTAGACTATTTTGATCAGAAGGTTGGCATACTTTGAACGCCATTCTCATCATCCTTTACTGATCACTTCCCCAAGCGGAACATCATTACAGACTCTGCTTATCCATCCGATGATTATCATTTTGCAAATGCCAAAAATGCTAAACAAAAATCCAAAAAGTAAAAGGAACAGGTTAAAAACCAGTTAAACAAACACAAAGACGCATTCCTAGTCGATCCAGCCGACCCTAATCAGACCCCTCACTGTCTAGCTAGTCCAAACACAACACTGTAAAGCTATGCTCCCTTCTCTCTCTTGTGTCCCATATAACCTTCGGAACATGTTTTCACTGTCCCACAGATTCTTTCACTCTCTCCCATGAAATCCCCTCTTCGTATATAACCCACAACAACACAACATAATCTAAGACATATATACTATACTTTGAGGCTGCTTTTGTTTTGGTCTGAAAATGCCAGCGGATTCCGGAGATCAGAATAGGCGTTTAAGCAAGGCGGTTAACCCGGGAGCGCCACCTCCAGAACAGGAACAGCTACCGTGCCCACGTTGTGACTCTACTAATACTAAGTTTTGCTACTACAACAACTATAACTTTTCTCAGCCTCGTCATTTCTGCAAGTCCTGTCGTCGTTACTGGACTCATGGTGGTACTCTCCGGGACATCCCTGTTGGCGGTGGCACCAGGAAAAACGCTAAGCGTTCACGCACAGCTGCCTCCCACGTCCCCGCCGCCACCGCTAGTCATAATAACTTCCCGCTACCTGCTACGCCAGTTTTGTTGCCGATCTCGGGTAATCAAGGAAGTTTTGGTATTGGTGGAGAATCCAAGTGCAACGGTAGTGGTGGTGATGGGAGTTTTACTTCGTTGTTGAATACTCCAGGGCCTGGTTTTCTGGCTCTTGGTGGGTTTGGATTTGGTATTGCTCCGGCACTGGATGATGTTGGGTTTGGGCTTGGAAGAGGGATGTGGGGCTTGTCAGGAATGGGAGATGTAGCCGCCGTTGTCGGTGGCGGGGCTGCTGCTGGCACGGGAATGGGGACCACATGGCAGTATGAAGGTGGAGAGAGTGGGTTCGTTGGCGGTGGGGATTGCTTTTCTTGGCCTGATCTTGCTATTTCAACGCCAGGAAATGGGCTCAAGTGAATCTTGTTCCTTTTTTCTAGTATAAGTGGAATTAGTGAGTGGTGAGAGTAAAACATTAGCAACATTAAAGTAGATATAGGACTATGGCTTTTGTTTTTTGTTCTTTAGATGACTCAATGCCATGTGATTTGGTTTGTTTCGTCTACGATATTGGTGGAGACATGGCTCAAATCAAAATGATGAGTGTGTAGCTCTTGGTTGTTGATATGCTCAAATATTTAGATAGCAGTGCATTTTAAGATGTTGATGGCTAAATGACTTCCGATTTATCTTCATTCATTTTGTTTAAACCACAAGGAATGCCAGTAAACCTTATCCAATAGTTTCAAATTGGCCACAATAAGAAAGAAAGAAAAGGGTTGAGACCGATATCTAGACAGTGGCACACAGATAGCTGCAATAATTTAATTTTATGGCGGTTGAGTACGAAATCTAAAACTCGTGCTGTAAATGCAAGCCCCCAAACTGCAAATTTTAATCTCGATGGACCCCATTAACGTTTCCAACTTTCAAGCTTTGTGGGCATGAAGTTAATGTTCTAGATTCTTGAGTAACTCCTTGTAATTCAATGCCACTCGATGGACTCGATGCCTAACCAAAATACAATAACCCAAGTTACGAGTAGCGATTGTGTTAGAACGCGTATATGTTTTGATAATTTCCTATCTAATATATCTTACTTTATATTTTTGGCTTTCCATGATACAAAACGCATGCATGGATGGCTCCCAAGGATCGATTAATGGTCAAGATAGACGTAGACTTGTAGAATTCAACGAGTATAGATTATTCCTCAACACTCAGTTACATGATCCCAGGTAAGGTAAGGAAATTAAATCCAATCTTACGTCAATGGACCAGACCATGGAAGGATATTGAATCCAGTCTTAAGCCAATTATAACATTTTAAGTACTGAAACCAAATTGAAAAGTATTTTTGGCCTAAAAAGTTATTTATTCGACGTTGCTTCTAGGTTCAAAATCACTTTTAAGTTTTAACCTCAAAAGTCCTTTAAAAAATGGACCCTTAATCTACATTAGTTATAGACACTTCCCGTATAATATTATAATGATCATTCTCTTTCTTAAATAATCTGTGTTAATTAATTAATCTTTCATTAACCACACATCGAATTTCCATAGTCTGATAGTCATGTTCTTCTTCCTCCAATTCCAGCTCCTGCTGCGAGTTGCAGATTACCGTAGTGACCCGCTTTTAAGAATTCGCATTTACATTTTAGTCAAGTTAAAGTTTTACCCTTTCCTCTCTTTTATCAACTAAAATTTCCTCTTTGAATGTAAAGTTCAACAACAATGCACCCTACTGGTTTTAACAAAACAGATGTAAAATATCTCAAAAAGATGAATGGAAAGGGAAAAGAAATGAAATTGAAACCAAACATCCTATAAAGCATGCATGTAATACGAGAAAAGAACACAAAAACAATAAGGATACATGGATCGCCGAGTTAGTTCCGATGACTGCTGGAAACGCTTGTTATAAGCTGACAGTAACACAAATGTCATGATTTCAATGATGTATTCCACCCCCTGCACACCAACCCGAAAGCTGAAGCCAGAATAAAAAAGCTAGCTAGTCCAGTGTGCAAGAGATGGAATATAACATAAACCCATGCCCAAAAAAAATAAAAACAAATCAACCACCTATGCTGTTTTCTTAGTATTGCTCCTAGCAAGGGATGCCGGAACTTTTATAATGGTGCAGGGATGCAGTTTTCATGTGAAAATAACGTATTGGAACACCCTTTTCCAGGATTCAGAAAATCCCGGCAATTTTGTCGGTGGGAAAGAAGAAAAAGACTTGGAAAAGTGGTAGGGTGAGGTGGAAATCACCGTTGGCCTGACATCAGCCATTGAAGGTGGGGTGTCAACAAATCTTTTACAATCTCCGCTCCATTTTGTTCATGCCTTCCATCGATTGAGCGCAGAATCTTGAAGCCATCTTCAATCCTTTTAACCAAAGGATTGCTTACGACTTCACCCAATAATTTATTGGCTAATGATCTTTCCACTTCCTTTACAAACTCCATCTTCTTCTTTCTTATATACATCTAACCTGTAATCAACCTAGATCCCATAGACGTCAAAATCCAAATCTTTTAATCTATTCAAAGGCCAATAAAAGGTGAAAATTTCCAATAACCATATTAAAATTTTTCTTCTTTTAAGTGCATGAAGAGAAGGATTATTTGGTAGTCAATTTTTATCATTAAGCATGCATTATGTGAGTTACGGATTTAATTTATATACTCTTATTTACTTAATTTTATTCTTTTTAGTTTACATATTTTAAAAATTCAGTAATAGTTTAAATGGAATAAAAGCAATATAATTAAACTACAAGATTAAAAAATGATCAATTAAAAATATAAAAATCAAATATATAATAGAATTAAAGATTATAAAAATTAAATATACAGATTAAACTTAATATAATGATTAATAATAAAATTTGATTAAATAAATCTAAAAATTACCGTTTAAATTTTTTAATTTAAAAAATATGCATGAGTTATGGACTTATGGTTGACCGTTAATGGGCCTATGAACTTTTAATTTCAGCCCAACAAAACTGAAAAACAGACGTTACTTCAAGTCGGGTCTTCTTCGTGTTTTTGCAGAAGAAAGCAGGGTCTTCTTCTTACAGGTTTAAAAGTAAGGGTTTTTCTTCCTCAATTCTCATACAAATTTCTCGACTATTAGAACCCTAATTTTTGCTTCCAGGGAACAACAAAAATGTCATCCCTTTTTGCAACTCCACTTCCCCAGCAACCTCAATCATTTCAACCCCAACAGCAGCAATCACCTTTCCAGCAAAGCAGCAGCCCATTTTTTCAACACCAACAGCAACAATTACAGCAGCAACCACAGTTACAGTTTCACCAACACCAACAGCAGCAGCAGCAGCAACAACCACAGCAACAACCCCTTTTTCTTTTTACTAATGACAAGACTCCAGCTACTTACAGCACTAAATGGGCTGATCTGCATCCTGATTCTCAAAAGTTCCTGCTTCAAATCGAGTATATTTTCAATTCTTTTTAATGGATTTTGTTTTGGATTCTTAAAAAAATGATATTTTTCATGCATTTTGATATTTTTTAATTGTGTTCACCTGGAAAAGTGTGGGATATAAGTTTCACTTGCTGAGCTTGGACATTGGTACCAATTATTCTTATATGACGCCCTCGTAGTAAGTAGTGTGGTTATCTTCTTGGAATGTAGGGAAAGGATATTGGAGTATAGAGATGAAAGCCAAAGGTTAGATCAGTGTAGTCGCCTTTACAATTCTTCGGTGTCCAATGAAGGCTTCGAGCTTGATGCTAGCCACATTGTTCAGGTTGAACCTTTGCTTTACTTGCATACCAATGTGCAGTTGTTCCTGCTTTTTTTTCTCTCTCTCAAACTTTTCCCGCTTTTTTAGACATTGCATTGATGGAGGAGATGTACATTAATTATGTAGTTCATTTTTCTTGTGCTTGTTCGCCTACCATATATTCTAATTTGGTGAATTATCAAGAATGCTTTGTTATTCAATACAAAACTATTTATGACGCCCTTATTGTGATCCAAGTAATTAAAAGTGTTGAGCTATCAAAATAGTTTCTCTCGTGAATATTTAGATTAGCTCAAAGTTCGAATCTAATTTTACTTTAGATGTATTATTTTGTCTCTTTTTGTTGAGGAGTGGCTTATGCTCCATGTGCGGGATGACGGTTGAATCTGATCCATGTCATGAAACTATGAGGGGTTCATCAATTTGTTACTATTGTGAATATCAGAAACAAATTGTAAAACTGTCGGAATGATTTCTTCCATCCTCGTTAAGTGACAGTGTTCTACATTACAGTTGTTTCCAAACCCATTGATCTAGGTTAGTTATTACCTCCATGCCAGCTTTCTGAGCTCAAGAAGAAAATATCTCTGAAGTTACAGGTTTGGATCAGTCGGTGGATTTCCCCCTCAAAAGTATGAACTATGAAGTATTTCCTGTTTGAATGATATGTATAACAAGCCATCAGTTTTGAAATATTTTGCTTGTCCTTTTCATATTGTGGTGCGTAGCATTAGTGTATAAATTGGCACGGCAGGAACTTGGAGGAATTGTCATTGCCATGGAGAGGCAGAAAGATTTGCTGCAAGAATTGATGGCTACTGCGAAAGATATGCTAAGGAACATAGAGATTGCTGTTCGTTCTTTCATGATGCATCGGCCACGGTTCCTTCACTCAAACACCGGAGGCGCTTCAAATGCCACAGCACCATCCCAGGCTCCAGGAGCAACAATGGCACCAGGTTCCAGTGCTCAACCAACTGCTGCAACCATGGTACCAGTTTTTGATTTTTACCATGGGCTTCCCAAGAAGCCGTCTCCACTTCTACAGTATACCATTGCTAGATTTGAGAAGTATTTGTGTGAGTGCCGCCAGTGGATTGAAGAGTTGGAACAGCTTCTCCTTTTGAATTCTGAAAGAAACTCTATCAATCAAGCATCTTCGTTATTGCAATCTCTTCCAAAAGTCATGTCCAATGTGCATGACTTTTTTGTTCAAGTGGCTGCCAAGGTGAGGAAGATGCGTGCAGTTGTATATATGTTTTGTTTGATTGACAATACACAGTCATATGCTAAGGAGCAGATATATATCTTCTTGTTTGAAAATTATTTTTTTGAAAATGAGTTGAGACAAGGATTTTTTTATGTATTCTTATATAGTCCATGCTTTATGTTTAACGTAGTCATAGCATACAATCAAGATATGATTTTGAATTTTCACTTTTGATTTGCACTCTTAACGCCTATCCACCCCCACCCAAAACAGAACACAGAAGAAAAAAGAATTGACTTGTCCTACGACTGTTTTGTAGGTAGAGAGCATCCATCAATACATTCAATCAATGAAAACAACATATCTTGCTGATCACCGTGGCAGAGGAGATGTTAATGATCCTTTTCTTGAAGCTGATCGGAGAGAAACTGCCAAGCAAGAAGCTGCTGCTAAGAGGCTACATCTAATCTTGCATTTACCTACCAATTCACAACCATCAACTCAGGTTGCTGGGTTGCTTGCTGGCTCAGCAACAACTCCTGCAGCAGCCTCTGCTCCACAGACGTCTTCCACTCCTGCTTCTTCCATGTCATCTTCGCTGTTTGCAACTCCAACCACAGGAGCTTCAATTCAAACATCCCTTTTCAGTTCCTCATCACGATCTCTCTTTGCATCTGCATCCACTCCCTCTCTTTTTTCTAGTACCATTGCATCTGCTGGAGGTTCTTTTTCAATACCATTTGCTTCTGGTACCTTCTTATGCTATTATGTTTTCTTCAATCACTTCTTTCTATTTTCAAGTAATGTCATTTGAAGACCATGTTTTGTTTTAAGTAGCCACTGTGTTTTGATGTAGGTTGATAGATTTTGATCTAATTATCGTGTGTTGCCTGACTGAGTTTTTACTTCCCAGGTGCTCCAACAGGATCTGGTCCTAGCTTCGGGGCTGCATCTGTGAGTAGAGTGTTCTCTTGGCTTTCAATTTTTTTCTTCTATTTTTCATAATTTTCATAAAGAACAGGCATGGGTTCAAAGAATACTAAAAGTCCGAGTCTGCATCAGTCAGCATTGTCACATGGATCAGTTATATTTCTCTTAATTAACCTCATCGATGTGTGTTCTTGCAGAAATCATCGAGGCCAAAATCCCGGACTACCCGACGTTAGTCATCGTGGCTTGAATATGTCCCGAAACTTCTTTCTGTTGACTGCAATGATCCTTTGCACATAAGCGGACCCACAGTTCATTTTGACAGTTTCTTTACTCATGATATTCCTTTAAAGGGCAGTGTTATTTCATCTGGAGTGGAAGGATCATGTTGGCTTCTTTGTGATATCCAGAAGAAAAAAAACCAAGATGTTAGCTTTATGATACATCCTAATCTCTTTTGTAGTTATTTCAGCATTGATTAAAGTGCTACAGGATCCTTATTACTGTAACATTGTAGGACACATTGTAGGATATCTTTTTCTTCTTTCTTTGAGAAATAAGATTTGAAAACTATTATTCCTGTGTGAAGATATAAATACCTGGGGTAAATAAAATTAATTGAAACTAAAAACTTGAAATCTTGTCATGTTCCCTCGTAACCTATGCAGTTCAGTTTCCGCATCATAAACATGCGGATGCAATTGATCTCCTGATGCGAACACATGGATATTGTTTTTGTCTTCGATCCAGCTTAGCCCAGCATCCTTTTCCAACGTCAAGTGTCTGATCTTCCTCCTCATTTCTGCTACATCTCGCCATCTCTCTGTTGCAGCATAAAGATTAGAAAGCAAGATATTTGTTGCACTATCTCTTGGGTCAACCATTAGAATTTGATCCGCCTGCATGAACTCCTTTCTCCAAGTTTCTGAAAGTGAGACCAGAGCTTAGCAAAGTTCTCCAGAGTTCCAAACGTTCTTCACTGTATGGTGAATCTTTGATCATCTTCTCTGCGTCATCTAATAACTCGGCCCGACAAAGCAAACTCACCATGCAAGAATAGTGCTTGGGTCCTGCGGTGCAACCATTTTCCTTCATATAAGCCCAAAAGAACTTTCCTCTCTTAACCAAGCCACTGTGGTTACAAGCAGATAGGAGAGACAAAAATGTTACTTGATCTGGCTTTAGTTCATGTTTTAGGATATCGTCAAATAGCTTCATTGCATCTTCTGCCATTCCATGGAGGCTATATGCCCCAAGAATTGCATTCCAAGACTTCAAATCAGGGTAAGAAAGCAAGGAAAATATGGATGTAGCAGCTTGAAGGTTTCCATTTTTGGCATACATATTAATCAGACTACCACAAACAGACATTTCAACTTTACATCCCGATTTTATAGCCTGAGAATGAATCATCTCACCTTGTTTCAGCATTGCAAGGTCAGCACAAGCACTTAATGCACCAATGAGAACAAAGCTATCAATCTTAAACCCCATTTGACTCATTTGAAGCAACAATCAAATTCCACTCACCCCATCAGCCATTCTAGAGTAACCCATAATCATTTCAGTCCAAAGAACCACATCTTTCTTCAAGATCATACTAAAAGCTGCCTCAGCAGATTCGCTGTCACTATTTTTGAAATACATGGACACAAGAGTGGTTCCTACGAAAACACTACTTTCCATTCCTGATTTTGTGACTTGGCCATGCAGGGGCTTCCCATAATCAGATGCTAGAAGTGCACTAGTTGCAGAAATGACAGAAGCAAAAGTGTATTCATCGGGCTTAAGAAAAGGAATTCCCTTCAACTTAACAAATAGCTCCATGGCTCTTATGTCATCTCCATGCTCTGCCAATCCCGCAAGCATTGGATTCCAAGAAACTAAATCAAGGTTTTCGATCCTACTAAAAACCTTCAACCCTTTTCAGTATCACCACAATTGAAATACATGTCAAGCAAGGCATTTTGCAAAGGTAAATCAACTACAATATTTGAAACAACGATTCGGGCATGGATAGCTATCCCCCAGTCATAATTCCCCACCTTACCACAAGCACTTAACACCGTGGAATATGTAAATGGAGTTGGGGAAACCCCAAACTTAATCATATCAAAAAAGAAAGCCAGCCCTTCCTTTATCTTACCATTCCTCAAGTTTCCAAATATTGTAGAATTCCATGCAACAACATCCCTACCATCTATACAAGCAAAAATTGCATTAGCAGACTCCGAATCCCCACAATTCGAGTACATCCCAAGCAAGGCAATTTGAACACAAACGTCACATAAAAAACCAAACTTTACTAGAAGAGCGTGTAGTGACGAACCGATCAATCTATCCTCAACCAATAAAGCAGCTTGTAACAGGCTCGTGAAAGTGGCACCATTAGGACTTAAACACTTAAAACCCATCTGGGGAACCAATCTAAAGGCTAAGTTAGAATGGTTTGGTGCCCGAGAATACGCTGAGATGAGCGCATTGTATGAAACTACATTTCTATTGGGAGTTTTGTCAAATATTTTCTTGGCCTCCGAAAGGGAGTTGCATCGAGAATACATAGAAACAATGTTGTTGTGGAGGTACGGGGAAAGGGAATGGAGGGGCGTAGTGGAGATGGTCAGTAGGAAAGCGTGGAGTTGACGCGCTTTTTTTAGGGTCGTTATGGAGGTGCATTTCTGTGTGAAGGACTTCCTTTAGTACTGCAACATTTTGAATCACCAAAAACAAATCTTTGCCGTGGATTGGTCCTCAACCCTGTCTCAAAAATACATGAACAAATAAAATGATCAAAGTTAATACAGTTTCCTAAACTAATACAATTCTTTAAAATTTGTAATACTTAAATATTAAAATTAAAAATAATCAGCATTATTCCTTCAAAAAATAATTTTAAAAAAATGAAAAGAAGAAAACAGAAAAAATATAGTCTACATATTCTTTTAATGTGTAATTAGGGTTAATACTTATTCGTATACTAACATTGGTTGTTCATCTTATGTTCGTATTAACACGTGTAAAAAGTATAAAACAATTCTTATCGTTTTAATTATCTATTATAATGTTTAATCCCTATGATCTTTTCTATAAATATTAACGTTTGATTTATTGTTGTATGCACTAAAAATGGATTTTTTATCCACCTTCTCACTGTTATTCCTAGAAAATAATAATATCGATTAAATTTATTTTTCTTTTCCTTTTGAATGTATAAATTTAAAAGCACTATTTAATACAATAAGATTATTTTATTTCATATGATTTACTTTATTAGCTATCACTAATGTTTCTATTTTGGAGAAATAGTATTTTCAACACAAACACATGCAAAATGCCAAACTTTGAGATGTTATGATGTTATCCTTTCCGAGCTTTACCATTGATTTTGATGTTTAACAGTCGACCATTACCATATGTTGCTCTCTTCGATTCCGTCGGGAAGCGTCAAGTCCTAGGAATGGAACAATGAAGATAAATGGCTTTTAATTACTTTTTTTTTGGCTTATATAGAACTATAATAATCATCTTTTAGCCATGGCATTTTTGTTTTGTAGTAACTTTTAGTTTTATTGAGAAAGTGGGAAACAAAAACCACTAGAACACACTGAAAAAAACAATAAAGTGACGAAGCCGCACATCATTCTGAGATAAATTGGCAAAAGGATTCCAAAGAGAAGACATTGAAAGTTGTTCCACAGTGTAAGAGACTGAACCAGAAGAGATGGAGAAGAAGAAAGAGGGTCATTTTGTGCTAGTTCATGGAGCCTGCCATGGAGCTTGGTGTTGGTATAAAGTCATAACTCAGCTCAAATCAATGGGCCATAAGGTTACAGCTTTGGACATGGCTGGTTCCGGTGTTCATCGAAAGCAAGTTCATGAGATTCACTCGTTTGTCGACTACTTTGAACCATTGATGAGCTTCATGGCGTCTCTCCAACCAGATGAGAGGGTGATTCTAGTGGGTCACAGTCTGGGTGGGTATAGCATATCAGCTGCCATGGAACGATTCCATGATAAAGTTGCTGTTGCAGTATTTGCCACTGCTTTCATGCCCAGTCCAAGTCTCCCTTATCTAACTCTTTCTCAACAGGTACATGTTCTTCTGAAGTTCTTACCATGTTTTTAAGACTAGTTGTTCTCTTAGCATAAAATCATGCGTCTGCTCTTGATAACTGTTGTTTTTTTTCTCGGACAGTTCAATAAAACCATGGATTCCGACAAGACCATGGACACAGAGTATGTGTTCCCCAATGGAAGAGGTAAGCCTCCAACATCAGGACTCTTCGGGCCTAATTTCTTGGCAACCAAGTTATATCAGTTATCCCCGCGTGAGGCAAGAGTTCTCAAATTCAATCAACACCCTTCATCGTTTACATTTTTTCCAGATATTAAAGTCTCCATTGTTTTGTTTGCTATGGATTAAGGGCAGGATTTAGCGCTTGCACTAACTTTGGTCAGACATGTTGGTATCTTCCTTGATGAAGAATCAATCGAGGCTGTCGGAGTCACGAAGGAGAAATATGGATCGGTTCATCGAGTTTTCATCGTGTGCTGCAAAGATTATGCCATTAAAGAAGAATACCAGAGGTGGATGATCGAAAACAATCCACCCAATGAAGTAAAGTCGATTTTGGATTCGGATCATATGGTCATGTTTTCGAACCCCAACGAACTGTGCTCTTGCCTTCAAGAAATTGCAGACAAATATACTTGAGGAAGCCATTGATGACTACTCTCAGTACTTGGAGTTGGACTTGCACTGTTTTACAATAGTTGGCGATCTGGAAGTTTCTCTGCAATCTTAAATTGCTAATCTTACACTAAAAAAATTCGAAAATTACTAATACCTTAAGCCATAAATGAAAGTGGTTGTCGTTTCCATTGCGTAGAAAAATTAATTCCATGATTTGTCATGTCACTAATATATTATCATATATTCCCGGTGGATTTTATTCATTAAAAATGACAACTTATTAACATGCAATACTGTAGGAAAAAATTAAGCGTACATGTTTGCAATCTCCAAGAGAGTGTGACAAAGTTGTTTGGTTTTGGAGAACATAGGCATATGATCAGCACCAGCGATCTCCATCACAGCTTGAGGGGGATTGTTGCTGATCATCCAGCGTTGGTGTTCCAGGTACATCGCTTTATCCTCCTCGCAAACTACAAAAACCCTCCTCACAGATCCATACCCTTGATCCGAAAACTTCTTCGCCTTGGACAAATCATGTTCATACAATGATCCTGCCCTTACCAGTGTTTTCGCCAGTTCCAGGTCCTTCAGAAAAGAAAAAGAAAAAAAAACCATCGATTTCTTTCACTTAGGTTATAGGAGAGGTAACTTCATCTTTGGAAATATAATTTTTCCACCAACCTACTAAAATCATCGTAGGAGAGATTTGGCGAGATTCTTAACAAGACATTTGATTAACTCATAAGATCAATCAAGACTAAATTTGTTAATTGACGATTGTATTTATACACTCTATTAACTTATAATCATAACTCTA